AAGTGCCAGGTGCCGGTCTGGGCTGTGGGCCTGTGCGTTTGCAGAACCTAAGCCTGGGCAGGGGCCGGACTGCCCGCGTCATAACGACGGAGCACGGGCCGGGGCTGAGGGGACACTGAGGCCCGGGGGCACCGTCTGGTCAGCTGGGCAGACAGTCCATGGTGTCCGGCATCACCGCGAGGGCAGCTGCGGAGGCTTCCTGGCAGAGAGGGTGGGGGGGTGAGGACGGGTCGCTGAGGAGAGGAGGCGTGTGGGGAGCGCGGGTGGGGATCAGGCGTGCGGGCCCATCCCTCTCAGCCTCGCTGCCCCGACCTCCTCGCGGCTCAGATGCTCCGTCCTTCACGGGCTCAGGCACCCCCAGGGCCTCAGGCACCCACCCAGCCTCAGGCCCGTTTCCTTTGTCCCCCACTCCACCCACCTCCACCTCGAAGGCCCGCCCTTAACGCATCGGAATCGGTTCATTGCCCCCTCTTCACCCTGCCACCAAGATGTGCTGCCCTGACCTCGGGTGACCTCTGACCTCGGGTGACCTGACCCCAGCAGGCAGGTCCGAACTGGCAGTACCTGTCCCTACCTGTGCTGCTGCCCCGTGTCTGTGCCCATTTAGTCACCACGTCAGACCCTGGCGCGGCCCTGCGGCCCCCCCTCTACGCCCCATCCTCCCGGCCATGGTTCCCTTTGTCCTATCGCCTCCTGGCTCCCAACGGGCAGATGCCGGGCTCAGGGCCTGGCTGCCTGGCTCACTGCGCGTCCACAAGCCCGATGGAGCCTGACACCCAGCGGGCCCCACTGCGTTCTCTTAGAATGAATGACTTGCGTCACTCTGGCCAGAAGGCTGTGACATCACAGGGCAGACAAGGGGGCTGTGACATCACAGGGAAGACAAGGGGGCTGTGACATCACAGGGCAGACAAGGGGCTGTCCCTCAGCAAGCCAATCCTCTGAGCTGTCTCCCTGGTGTTCCAGGCCCCCCACCCTCCCCCCGCACCCCCTTGTTGCAGTTTCTGAGTATTTCCCTGCTTGTACCCAAGCACAGAGCCCCGCAGCAGAGGGGGGAGGCTGGGCTGTCTGCTTCGAAAGAGCTGTTCCAGGCCCGGGGCCCAGGACGGACCCCTCTCTGTGGTGGGACAGGGCCCAGGGGTCCCACCCTCCCTCCACCTCCTGGGCCCTGACCTTGAGCGATGGGCATTATGCGACCTTGGCCAGGAGAACTGCAGCCACCAGCAGGCCTGTCATCAGGGCGGGGCAGCCGCCAGCCAGGGGGGCAGACCCTATGGAGAGTCGGAGGGCCCCATGGGTGAGGGACGGGGGAGCGTGTCACCACCCCAACTCCTCCCAGAGCCGCCCCACGAGCCCCCTGAAGTCACCTCTCAGCACCCCTCTTGTTCTCCTCCCCAGCGCACTGCCCCCCCTCATCTAGCCAGCCCCCCCACCCCCCATAGTCCAGCTCCCAGGTGACCTTTGCCACTGAGACGGGTCAGGGGGGTGGGGGTGGGGAGCTGGCAGAGGGTGACTCCAGGAAGGAATCCCTCTGTGGAGCCTGGGCCCCCGGGACCAGGAGTCTGGAGGGGCTTCACCCCAAAGCCCTGCCCCTGGGCCGACACCCCTGGTCCTCAGTCTGGCACCTTGAACACGCTCCTGTCCCTGTTCTCCGCCCACACTGCTGAGGACAGGGAAGGAGAAGGCGCCCCACGTGCTGGGGGGCACCTGTTCCAGGGCAGGCACCCCGTCTGCAGCCACGGGGGGCGGGACCGTGCAGGGGAGGGCCGGGCCTCACCTGAGTGGGTTGTGGTGGAC